TAATTGCGAATATTCATATTGCAGGGTGATTTGACAACTCATAAGTAAATAACATAAACAAAGGAGTAAAACAATTTGGCGACAGGCTTGGCCCCAGGAGACTTGTTGAATCTCGTGGCTTACATAATGTTGTTGTTAATTACCATAGACAGAAATTGCTCGTAGGAAATCTTGATCCATCCGTCCATATCAGTGTCGTGCTGTCGGAAGGCGCCGGTCAATGTTTGCAACTGAATGCACAGTGCAATGAAGTCATCAAAGGTGATGTGACCTAAAAGGAAAACAGGTTTGTGAGTAAGATATGTAAAAGCAATCGTTAGCGTAGGTCTGGTGCCAAAAAGCAACTGATAAGCAATAGAGAATCTGACTGTAATGACTGCTGATCACTAAAGAAAGCCACTAAAACTAGATTGTGCTCCAAAACGAATCGTAAAGGTGCTCGCAGAATAGCAGCAAGAAATGCCCTAAACCAAAAAGATTGAAAAATGTCATTAGACTTTTTGGGCACAATGTCATATGCCTTCAGTGTTAGTGGCAAGTAGCTCTGGGCATAGTGAGTTGAATTGAAAATAAAAACTCACCTCTACCTTCTCGGTCGTATTTTCGCATGAGGATGTTATAAAATTGGTCACTCAGACGATATCCAAAGGTGGTCAGTGCTTGTTTAAGCTCATTTCGATCGATGTTGCCTAAGGGAATAGTCAGTTATTGCCCATGTGCTAAACAGTGAAACTTGATTGCTGTGCTTACCAGAATTGTCTCGATCAAATGATCGAAAGCAGTTGAGCCAGTCTGTCACATAGCGCCACAGCTGACAAAACTCTTGAAAATTAACGCTACCAGAGTTATCTCTGTCAAACATTCCGATCATCATGCTGACCTAAAAACGAAAAATTAAATCAACAACTCTAATTATAAATTAGCCAACTTACGGTACTTAAGCTGAATGGTCTGAAAGTGCCATTTGAGAGGGCAGACTGGAGTTCAGTGGCAGATATCTGACCACTTCGGTCCTTAAAACGTCAATTTTTTGTTAGTTTACAAGTCATTGATTAAAACAACAAAATAGGAGTGTTTTTGACTAATTACCTTGTCCACTCTTGAAAAGACGGTTCCCAGCCAATTCTGATCGGGCATCTGATAGGGTGAGGCAGCCATGGTGATTAAATGAAAATGAATAAAAGAAAAGTAGGTACACGTCAGTTGGTGTGAGAGGCAAGCTTATATGTAAGGTGAGCAATAGATGAGCCTGGACTGACTCAGAGAGCCGGTTTTACGTCATAAAACAGCCAAACAGTTGCGAGCCAAGAAAGAAACACTGGCGAAGCGGTAGAGATGACAGCCTCTGAAAGTGGGCGCAGGCGCCCTCTACCGAATCAGATAGTGTGATTCATGCACTTCTCTAACAATTCTGATTTTCATGC